TCTCCTGATTGGTCACCTGGACACCGTCAATTTGGCTTACTTTGCGACGTGATTTCTTTAATGCTTCCCTGGTTTTGGATTCCAGTTCTGCCGGTAGTACTCCATCTTCTTGTCCAACATCCACGACGTCATGACACACAGGAGTTGCAGCTTCATGCGGTTCGGAATCATCACGCGGCTCTAATGCATTTAGAGCTCGTTCATCTGTGAATATATGTCATCCACATGCCGTAGATGTTTAGATGCATCGGTCAAATGAGTGATCTACACTATGGACGGATTCAATTTTCTGGTGATTTTTTGCATGAACAGAACAAAGATTGTTGATCCCTAAGTAAGTAACATGGCCAGAATATGTATAAATATATAGTGGGAAAACACCTCAAACAACGCCTTGTGAACAGCTTTCCAGGAATTTCCTTTGTAGTAAGAGGTTCACCAAAATCGCCTACAAATCCAGTAGTGTTTTCGGAATCATAAATGTCAGTGCACTCTTGACTATTTCCATCCGCTTTTGTGTGTACCATGAGAACATGGATGACTTGGTATCTTTCGTAAATGTCGACATCTAATGCTAGCAAGCAAGCTTTCAGTTCAGTTGCGAGGAACTGCGATTCATTGTCTGGTGACATGCACTAGTGGTAAACTTTTCAGGTTGAACTATTTTGGAAGAGCCTGGATCACGAAAGATGTTCTTAGCACACTTGTTCGCAACAATTTGAATTACTTTAATTACGAGTTATTAAACAAACGCGCATAGAAACGATTCAAGAATGGTTCACACAAGTTCGCATCCGTTGGCATTGTGCACAAATTTCTGGCTATAAAGCTAAATTTTTCGGCCTTGACTTCACGGTGTAAAGGTATGCAGTGGTGCAAATATCTGTATCCGAATCCAGTTAACAACACATCTTTTCGCTCAGTGATTTCTTCTTCTCTGCTCCTATTTGGCCTTTGTAGAAAACCTTAGATACTGTTTTTGCGGGATGTTGGGGGTACAACCACTCGACAAAGAACGGTATCTGGTTTCAATGCCCACTCTGCCCGATTGAGGCAGAACTGAGGATGTATTCTCTTCACATCCGGAGGCCCTTGTTTCGACAGGGTAGAAATAATCATCAAGTAATAAAACGTTTCCTCTCAAAGCTTCCCTACCAATTGAGCTATAAAATTGCATCTTTCTGTGGCAGCACAGCTTGAGTACCTTTATATAAAATCTGTCTACGGTATTGTCTTGCCGAAACAATGGATACATAATACGTTGAGTCCGTGTTCCAACTTTGACTGTCTTAATACTTCGTTCATGTTTTATTATTCATAATATCGGGGCAAAGAGGTGCGCCCTGAAAATAAAACACGCCGAGTGACGCTGGGGGCGTCTGTCGTACCGCACTCCCAAAGAACTCCATGATCTTGATCATGATCACGTCTGAAACCGGCTTATGCTTTCCTAGGAGCCAGCCGCAGTAAAGTAAGTAATTGATTGAAGTGGCAATCTACTTATCAGGATTGGTTGACACATGTTTCTGTTACTTCTTCTTTGTGGCATGAAGCCGAATATTTCGCTTCGGTCAACAACCTGGGCCAACGAGTTGATCTCCCCACACGTGTACCTGATTAAGCTGGCGATCGTGCCCACAGCCTCCATCTCATTCTCACTTCGTCCCTTCTTTCTTCTCAGATATTTGTACTATCTCTACTCTTGGCTCATCGGATTACTGCACTGTTTCTTGTTATAGTAGGTTTACCATCCTTGATCCGCCACCCAACCCGAAACATTCATTCTGACGCTACAACTTAGTCAGCTGGGACGGTTTCCGTGAGTTTCTAGCTTCTTATCCCTGGAATGAGTACTCTTTCACTTTGGACGTTTCCAACTTTATCGACGTTGTTCTTCAAGGTAGGTATCTTTTTATTCCGCACTTTTCCATACCCGGCAAACCCATATCCCCCGAGTGGTTTAACCATACATGTGACCGTAATGTACGCCTAAAAAGCTCAGCCTTCCGCCACTTACCAACTCCCGAACCCCCAACATCGCCTCGAGCAAGCCAGGAACAGATGCCCGACGACCAATCAGGGAACCAAAGAATGCTTCGTTCGCTGTAAAGCCGAAAACGTGGTCTCATTCCCTATCGGTTTCCGAACACTTGTCAAAGCAATTTCGTGTAATTTCTGGCCTTCCAACCTCCTGTGGTGGTTTTGCATGACAACCACAGGGGAAGGTTAGGGTTTTCGCTTCCCAGTTTGCCACAAAATCTTATCCAATTATCCTAGACCTTCACTGGCAACCCTTTTCTACCTCTATTAGCACTAGGAAAATCCGTCAAACATTGCGCTCTTTAAACGCAAACAAACCACCGGGTCCTGACGGTATCCGACACATCGTCCTCAAACTGTATGCTCCCGAACTAGCTCCTATCTTACGTCGTCTTTTCAATCTTTCTCTCCAACTTTCTATTTTCCTAACCCTTTGGAAGCACTCAGTGATTGTTCTCATTCCCCAACGCGGCGGTTTTTCTGACCCCAACAATTACCGACCGATTTCTTATACAACTGTGAAACGATGGAGCAATCGCAATCTCGTACTATCCACATAGCAATATGACATCTTAAATTGATGCCTCGACATCTTAAATTGAAAAAGATATAGTCTAAAATACACGCTCCATTTTGCTAAGTGGGTTTGGTAAACGGATAATCGTACGAAAGCTTTCAATTTGTCTTAAGTGCAGACTGCAATATCTACTAATGCAAGCCCACGCAAAACTCTTGCTAACTACGTCAAAGATAGACTTCTGAAGGAAAGAAATAACAACTATTATGGAAAAGTGCATATTTATTTTATAAAATTTGTTCGATACATTTTCCACTCTGCTACTTGTATGGTAAAATACTGCAAACAGTTTTCTTCTACCTTCAAAATAGTAACAGTTGGAATACTTTCCTTCTGCGTGACCATACTCCGTTTTAGCTCCTCGATCGTTCTCGGGAAAAAGCGCTTCGATTCCGATAGCCGCACGATCACCTATCCGAAAAACCGAGTCAACAAATACCTTTTCAAAATGTACTCACGTCTTAATCTTTGAAATCTCACAATGCATTCGTGAAATCGTTTGCCTCACTAACGCAGCTTGAACAGCAATTGAGACTGATCTGTCCAGTAGGCGAGTCTCAAATCAATCGATAACAGCCATCGCAGTGACTGACCTGGGATGATGGTTGGACGATAATCGCTGCAGTACTTCTTAGAGCACTGACGAAATTAGACAAATGGCTGGCTAGAGGTAATCGTAACCATCCCTGAAAATGTTACTACAGTTTGGTTCCAAAACGACGGTACACGACCGCACAATGCTCTGATGGCGCGAAGTTTCCTCGATTCTGAATTTAACTGCAAACGGACTATCGGAGGAGGACCAACGGAATGGCCTCCAAGAGCACAAACAGGCAGCATCGGATTCTGAACTTGTCCTCGTCTTATGCCCCCCCCCGAAAAGCACACGACCGATTGGGCTTATTTATCGATCGATCAGATAGCTCAGCCTCAACACGGGCCCCGGTTCTTGCTCAGTTAACCCGAGCGAGAAACCCCACCTGTTTTACAGCCGCGAATATTAGACAGACCTAGTGAACTTCGATTGTACAGCAGACGTGCCTTCACCACACGGATGGACTGGACGTGACAACAAGAGCATAACAAAAAGTACAAGCTGGTCATCGGACAGTCTCGTGTTGGGGTGATCACGGGTGCCGCAAATCGTGGAAATTAATCCAATCAGATCGCAGCGAGGGTCAGAGGGAATTCTCTTGTTGGAGGTTATAGGTGAGAGTGACAAGACAATGTGAAACGATGGAGCGATCGCTCTGTATGTGAAACTATCATCTCTGATCAACTACCCAACTTTCTCGAACGTGAAAGACTACTGAGCGACCGCCAGTATGGCTTCCGACTGCGTCGTTCCAGCGGTAACCTTCTGACCCTTGTCTTACAATCCTGGGCAGCTACATTCAATAACCACGGAGAAACACATTTGGTATCGCTTGACATTTCAAAGGCCTTCGACCGAGTTTTGCACGAAGATCTACTGGCGAACCTACCCAAGTTCGGGTTCCCTCCGGAGCTAAAAGCGTGGATATCAAGTTTCCTCAGTAAACAACCCATCTCCGTCCGAGTTGATGGGGTTCTGTCTCCGCCATTCGCTGTGAATACTGGTGTTACCCAAGGTTCAGTGCTTGCGCAAACTCTCTTACTTCTATTCATTGATGATCACCCTTCCAGAGCTGGCAACCCGATCTATTCTTTTGCCGCCACCCTCCACTGTTCCCTCTCCTACCGCACTACTCGTCATGCCCAAAACAACATCGATAGTGACCGTAGTTCAGTTAATGTGTCACTGGACTCCGATCTTGAACACATCTCCTTCTGGGGCAATGTAAACCACGTTTCCTTCAGTGGATCTAAAACATCTCTACTTCCAATTTCTTTAAAACACCATTCATTCTTCCTTCATTTATCTTCTGACTCCACTCAACTGCGTTCAACAGACTCTGTTTCTCTTCTTGGTATGCCTACAATTTCTTCATGCAGGTCGTCTTTTATAGCTGAGCTTGATTTGCGCGCTGGTGGCGTTCATCCATCTACTGATTAATCTTGTATCCCCAATCTAAATGAATTCTCTGTCTTCGGAGTGAGTTGGCTCTGGAAATACCACTCTTAATTCTGCTCTTTTATTTAATCGGGCGGCCAAAAGACAGCAACCGAAACCGGCGCACGAAAGTGCATTGTTACTGGTTGAAAAAACTGAAACTGATTAACATCGTAGATGTACAATCTCCTTATAGTTGATCAGTTGTTACGCGTGGAAGAATTTTGTATGAAAATAGAGTGAGTTGAAAAGAACAAACCACATGTAATCCATAAAAGGCGATGGATAGGGAACAGCTATTACAAGGAACGTAGATAGGATAGGAATTGTAAATGTTGTCACTGCTCGCGAGTGTGAAAAGTACCTAGACAAAATAGGCATACTGTACAACGAAAATATTTACAGAGCGTGGATAATTATGAGTGTGTGTGTGCGTGCCACAAATTGAAGCGCGGAAACAGCGCACCGATACACAAGGGGATCAGCGCGAAAGTCGAGCTGGTGAACTAACCGATTGGAAAATCGAACATATTGCTCGTTTTAACTCGTTCAAATCAACGGCGGTCCCCGAAGACCGGAATGCTTGATTAACACGAGGTAACCAAACATCCACAGCATTATGGAATCGGGAGTGCGGGCGCATTTCTTGCAGACAAGAAACAAACCAGTAGATTAATCGACAACTGGGAAAATGGATCCAGTTGGACCAGCCAATCGGGGGCATAGACACTGATGATGAGGATGATGATGCATCGCCTCGGCCGAGGCCAGCAGCGGTATGATTGTTTCTCATGAGACCTTCGACAAGATTGACCAGATGTTTCATCTCCAACATGAGCAACTGCAATTCATTAATCTGATGCACAACTTGAATAGAAAATTGACGATTGGACACGGTGTTTTTGAATTCAGTCGCCAGTGTGGTGAGCGATTCACACAACTCAGCTACCACGCGATCCAAGGACCCGGATGACGCGTGCAGATACGGAGCCAGATGGGCATGCGTTGTGAGAGCACAGACAACAAAAGCTAAGGGCACGGAGCAGCATTCCAAAGACACATTGTCCTGACGAGAAAACTGAGAATTCTGAAACCACAGGACAACCACAGTCTGAATGAGCTTTAGTTCTGGAGAAAGATGACTAGACGCGATCCCTGGTAAACCTAACTCTGTCAACAGGAAACCAATCGACTGATTGCGAATGGAATGAACATCATCACAATGGGGAACAGTGAGAACTGACAGCGAAAATGAGAACGGTAGCATCTGTTCAGCACGTCGTCGATATTCAACAGCCAATTTATTTTGAACACCGCACAGTTTTTGGGTGGTATGACAATGAAGTTCTAAACCGAAAAGCAAATTATAAAACAACAGGCGTAGTGGATTGAGCACGTGATAGATTGACTCAGATTGTCCTAACATGTCCTCGAAAAGTAGACGTTGGACACTGCCAGTACGCACGTACAATGTGTCCATGACACCGGTGGGCAGGTTTAAATTGTGCAGTTTCTCGATCAAAACATGCGGCCAACCGTGTGATATTTTTTCATCCTCAACACGATGTATAGCTGACAAAATCTTTCTTCCCGGTTTGGGTAACACATTTTCAACCAGATCAACTAGCTGCGGCAGTTTGGAATTCAATGGGTCGCAGTTAGGTCGTGGTGCGGGACTGCCACTGCAGTTTATAACTGGTGACGAGCAGTGGTCAGTCGAACTTTGGGACAGACGAAGCCGACTCGCCAGTTCACGACCAGTTTCCCACGGTTGAACTACATAGTCTAGAATGATTTCGCGCATATGACGCGCGGTGGGTTCACGCTCATTGGGGGAATACAAATCAAGAATAGCTCGTATCGGACCGGTAGTGTCTTGTCCAAACCTAGCTAACCACTCAACCAAGGCATCGATTCGTTTTCCAGTGTAAGTGGGAAATCGGGTGGAGCGCTTCGGATCCGAAATAAGCTGACTCACGACAGGCGGGACTTGGACGGCTGAGATGAAGTCGTTCCCAATCAATGTGGCTAAAACAGGTAAGAGTGGCGGATAAATTTTCCCAAGTGGACAGTCTGTGGGACGGAACATGGAACAGGGAAGGGCGTAGCAACCCGACGACGAAGAACAGCGACCACAACCAGGACCACTTAGTCGATGAGGTTGACCGAGTGAAACCAAAGAAATCAATTGATACGGATAAGAAGATGCACCAGACGAAGATGGGCCAGAAGATGAACAGTTTGGTCGAAAAATATAGAAGTCTGAATCATTGCTGACTACAGGACAATGCAAAAAGCAGGCTAATTCAGCCACATGTACATCGGCTTCACGTTCGCATGAAATGTACAGGGCACCGGTCTCACGAAGAACGTCCAAAAACACTGCATTCATCAATTTCGGTGCTATGTCCGGGCTTGGCGGGAGATCATCTGCGTCTGAAATTTGCCGAGCACGCTGGATAAAGGCCCGCAAATCCGTGATGCGATCATGATTTCGTTTCAGCAATGTGTTCAACTTTAGACCCTATAAAAAGAGAAGCGGATGAAAAGAAACAGGGACTTAGTCCATAAAACCGAACGGAATGTGTACGTGCACTGAATTTGCGAGTAAAATGATTTTCCATGCATGGATTATTACTATTATGTTTTCAACGAATTTCTTCACACCGATTAGATTCTGCATCTATTGTTCTAACGTGCGAAGTGTATCTAATGTAAGAGAACTTTTACCTCGTATTCGTGTATCATTCAAAGAATATAATCTGGAATTGATTAGAGCTAAATCACCTTGGTTGATCACTGGTCTCAATTTGAGTGTCTTATTCAAGGCAAAAAATTGATGGTTGAGGACGGCAACACCTGTTTTCTCTAGAACTTTTATTTCAAGAGAACAGATCGTAGTGCTCCAAGCGGGTCATCGATTAACTGAAGCACAGCGTACTGGCACAAAATTTAACAGTTTGAAACCGATAACTTGGGATTGAAAACAGTCAGGCAACTGAAGGGACTATAGACTATAGGATATGATCCTATAACCAATGGGGTCGATAAAACACATTCGGCTATGATTAGTTTCCACTAACTCTTTTCAAGATACACCGTGATTGTGGGATACAATCCACTGTTTGTTTGTAGCATGTCCTATTTCTGTGAGATAAATTGTTCATCAGTTTAATACTCACGTTAAGGCTGGACAGAGATTACTGGAAACACTGCAAGACAAGTTATATTCCGATCGTGGCCAAGACTTTAGTCACTGTGATACTTTATGGAATGAAACAAAGTCGTGAGCAACAAGATTGATTGATTCCGATTAATCACATTTATATCTGGCGTAAAGTGAAGGAATGACTTCTCTTACGCACATCGTTATTTGCAATAACGATAATGTATTTGCCTCCCAAAGCCTCAGTATGCTCAGGGGTGGGTGTCTAGGGTTGCGGTTGGTCACCTTTCCCTTGCAACTCGCGAAATGCTCTCATACGACCAAGCGTCTCGAATAGTCTCTGCTGAGGAAGCCCTACTCACTGTCTTTGCGTGGCGGTGTTTTACCACCAAAGTAAGAAGACGAAAAGCCGATATCCGGGGCTATAACCGGGTTGGTGGACCACTGGTAGTTCACCTAGGGGAGTTAGCCAAAAATACCTGATTCCATACCAAACATGAGGCGTACGAGCCACACGCAACCACACCCTCCTTGGTGTGGCATCATCATCATCATCATAGTACAGCGAAATATAGAGAGGCGAAATTCACTGATCGCTGCCAAACTCGCAATGCATATGCACTGGGGTGTGATGGACAGGTACTGCTAGGGTGTCCAGCCACTAAGCAGGAGAAAGATTGGGGTTCTCAACTAAAGCCTTTAGTTCTGCCAAGAACCTAACCGCAAGGTAATGGGTGGAGCGAAGTAGAGGCCCATTTACTTGGATTGATTACTCTTCCTCTATTTTTTACTGACTGAAACAAATTCTAGTCGAACCTCCAACCTGGAGGACCAGGAGATTGGACTTCGTCTTACCTTCCAGGCATGATTAAATCTTTGGCTTGAAAAAAGCGATCCTGTGTAGCTCGTTGGATCAGAGAGGTGCACAAGCCATCACATCACGTCAAGGTACAGTCTCGTGTGGGCAGTGGTCACCGGTTCGACTGCGCATCTAGGTGTATTGGGCACCTCAGATGTTTGACCCCGTCCAAAGGGCGTATGATCCGACGAACTGGACACTGGCCCTCAATGGATTGCGGTCTTCGCTGACCGCCCCGCTGCTTTGCGGGTCAGGCTTTGACTAGCCAAAGGCTCTGGTTGTGGATTCCTCAAAAACATTCATTGCCTTGCCCTGAGAAACATGGCAGTATTCAGCCCACAAGCCAATCATAGAACGTTTTTCTCCTTTTTTATAAAGATTATTGTACCATGATTTGCTTGGTAGTCTGTCCTTAGACAAGTGTGATATATATATATATATATATAATTGTATTTCTTTTTTACTCGTTGTAAAAAACAGGAGCATAGTCAATTTCCGAAAGCGGGCTACGATCAGTCAAAGTCTACATGAAAGGAAATACGCGTAGTAGGAAGATGGGCGGCGGTGGCACGATTCTAACTTAAAACCTCCGGGTCAATGTAATGGTGATCTCAGCCGCTTGATCACTGTCGATCACACATGAGGTAGTTGGCTTAGTGAGATATGAAATCCTATTTGATGCCTTTCTCCCTGAGGTTGTCTCAGATTTCTCGGGAGAGCAGAGCGATATGCTACCGAGCTCGTCCCCAGGTCGCGGATAGGGGAACGGCCGTCATCTCACGGCTAACCGTGAATAAGGTGGGCTTCGGCCCTCCGAATAAGCTGTCGCGGACGATCAACGGCAGCGCTCGAGGATGTGGTGGGTTTACCTCTTGGCAAGAGTACTTCGCACAAAACACCACACATATCTGTGGACAGCGCCGTGACGTGCCAAGTGTGGCCCGCCACCAAATATGGCCATTTCTCCCTGTCGAAATCTAGTGTTCGACAAGGTTCCAGAAGAGGCGAACGAACCAAATACTGACCACCGGCTCATCTAGAATACCGCTGCTGACTTGTGGTCCGCACTTGGTTGTGCAAAAGCACCCTCGAACAAGGGCTGCGATGAACCGGGCAACCGAGTAGTACAACAGCCCACAAAACCAGCGACGATGAACTCATCGACTTCTATGTGCATTCAGTCTACAATTTTAGCAACTAGAGACAAACCCTCTACACCGTGCACACACTCATCTCCCCCCATCCCACATACACCTCCTTTCTTGGAACCTCAAGATGATCGTGGAAATACTAGTGCCTCAGATGGAAACTCTGCCGCTGGTCCCTTATGTTCGACCTCCACTACCGTCCAAGTTTCACCGAATCCTCCACCAGCTGAAGCCCTTCTTCGCCATCGATGCCCATTCAAACTAGCAAAATTCAATGTGCGCACTCTGATACGTATAGGACAACAGGCCAGTTTAGCAAGTACGCTCGGGACCCTAGCCATCGATGTGTTGCATCCCAAAAACTAGCACTCAAGACCCAGCTCCATTATCCGATTGACGTCCCCATCAAATCAATCAGTGAAGTTTCACTTACGCCTCTCTGGGGACCTTGAAGCTGAGACTTCCGGTCTTGCTGGCGTTGGTGTGGCTCTCAGTGATAAAGCTGAGGCCGCGGTCCTGGACTGGTTCCCAGTCGACAGTAGGTTGTGCGCAGTGAGACTTATAGGTTCGTGCAAAGCAACCAGCAATCGTCCTGATAGACGAAATCTGTTTGTCGTATCGGTGTACGCCCCAACGGAATGCAGCCCAGATGCAGTCAAAGATGAATTTTACCATAATTTACATGACCTCTTGCGTAAAATAACCTGGGCTGATCTGATATTAGCAGGAGATATGAATGCTAGAGTAGGCCGGTTGACTTCGAGTGAGGCGGACCTGGGAGGTATTTTCGGACTAGATTCCTGTCGTTCGGAAAATGGGGAACGGTTGTTGGCTC